CAAGAGCGGGTGGATGCCTAAAGGAGGATGTGATCCCACAGGAAGCTTGTGCTGGAGCAGGCTCCTCACAGGACCCATGGAGAGAGGAGCCCACGCTGGATCAGGTTGGCTGGCGGGACTTTGTGACGCCATGGGGCGCTGGTGCTGGAGCAGTTTCCCCTGAAGGACTGCACGCCATGGAGAGGACTCATGTTGGGGCAGTTTGTCAAGAACAGTCTCTCGTGAGAAGACTCATGCTGGAAAAAGTTTGTGAAAACCAGTCTCCCATGAGAGTGAACCCCACTCTGGAGCAGGGGAAGAGCAAGGAGTCCTCCCCCTGAGGAAGAAGCAGCGGCAGAGATAACATCGGATGAACTGACCGCAATCTCCATTCCCCGTCCCCCTGCGCTGCTCAGGGGGGAGAAAGTGGAGGAACTGTGAGTAAAGTTAAGCCCAGGAAGAAGGGAGGGGTGGGGGAAAGGTGTTATTTTTAAGGTGTTTTTTTATTTCTCATTGCCCTCCTCTAATTTGATTGACAATAAATTCAGCTAATTTCCCCAAGTGAAGCCTGTTTTGCCTGTGACAGTAACTGCTGAGTGGGCTCTCTGTCCTTATCTCAACCCATGAACCTTTCGCTGTATTTTCTCCCCCGTCTACCTGAGGAGGGGGAGTGGCAGAGCAGCTCTGGCAGGCACCCAGCCGCCAGCCAGGGTCAGACCACTACAGGCACGAAAGTAATATTTTGTCATCCAGGGTCTGCACCTCAAATGCAAACCCTTGTACCCTCCTGCACAATTTTAAACCAAAACCTGGAGGAGTGCGATCAGCCCAGCTTAGATTATGCTGAACCAACAGGCAAAACATTTGTTAACTTCAGCCAGTCCAGTCTGGGCTCTTGTCCACATATGCAGCATGGTAAACCCTCACTGACCCACTTCAGTGGCCATTGCTGTTTCTCAACAAACTGGAAAAGACAGAAAAAAAAGAAAAAAAAGAAAAAAAAAGAGGAAATAAAACTGTCTTTGCATACCAAGCAGCTATCCTGATGAATGCATACAATCCATCATACTCATCACCAAGGACCACTAGTTGGCAAATACCATCTTTCTTATCCAACCCATTTGACAAGCTTGACGAAAAAGGATAAACACTGCAAAGCAGAAGCCACTGATGTAAAACAAAAATTTCTTCTAGAAAATTAGTTTTTCTATTCTCTCATGAGATAACAATATGATAACTTTTTTTAAAAATATCTATAACTGAAAACAACACTTTTATACTTCTAAGAGAGTTCTCTAACACCCTTATCACTCAAAAGCCGCACTCTTTTCTGCTTAGACATTTCATCACACACACCAAATACTTCCCAAGCAGAGCAGAACTCCCCGGGAAGCCTAAGGAGCTCCTTCCACCCCAATCAGTCCTGAACTGGGCCCACTAAGCCAAGAAAAATTCTGATTCTCTTGTTCAGTCAGCCTTTCAGTGTTTTTCAACGTAATTTTTTTTAAAAAAAAAAAAAGGTATTCTTTTTTTTTTTTAAAGAAAGCAAAAGCAACCAAAAGAATTGAGCTACACTGCAACAAAAAGTATAGTCTCCTGGTGTCTATATAGCACTTATCAACAGATAGCAAGACAAAAAAGCTTCTCACTTCTACCAGTTTCTTTGCATAGTTTTCATGAACATTTTAAAGGACTGTTAATTTGTGTCCAAGTCAGATAAAAACCCTGCCATTGCTAACATAAGATAAAAAGTCTAACTGTAGTGGTTGCCAGTAAAAAGCCTTTATTATTTATGACAGCTGCTACCACATAATGAGACAAAGTGTGTCACCAGATACACGCGTCTTTCTTAGGAATCAAATCTCCCAGTATAAATAATCTTCTTCTAGTACGTGACAGAACAGATCTGGGTCTTATGCTCACCATGAACAGGGCTGTACGAGTGCAACACATGGGAAGCCTTGGTAGGAGTTAATACTTCTGTAAGAGACAATTTTCTGAATCTCGTTAGTAAAGTCACCTTCTATTAAAGCCAATGCTCAAGAAGTACAAGCCTTCAAAAGTACAGTAAAACTAATTTATTTATTTTTTTTAACAGAACTCCACTTTGTAACTCCAAATGTCCTGATTTGGTGTGATTATCTAGACATAACTATGATAGTAAAATGAAACAGGCCAGAAGTAGCATTTTAATGACAAAAAGAATTCCAGAAAACACGCTCAACAGAGGTTAGAGACCGGTGTTGAAGTAATACGAACTAAAAATGTGTATTAAAACCCACCCTTTGTTTCTCCAATGAAGCTTTCTGCTCTGTAGAAGTGTCCACACAACTACCTGAGGTTTTTTATGTATCATGATCACTGGAAAATCAATTACAGATCAAGAAGTATGTATATTGATATACCTACACACTTTGAAATAAATATATAAAACAAAAAACCCCATATTTTTACTCTTCACATAATTTTCTTACTTTGCATTATATCCTGTACATTATCAGAGTCCCACTGAATTATGCACATCAGTTTAGATATGAATAATGTGGGCCTTTTTTGGACTTGCTCACATTTGTAAGAAGGTGGTTCCTTAGGGAACCAGCTGAGGGAGACTTAAGATCATTGTTACATTTTCTGTTAAAATTCTACCTCAGTCAATGTATAAAATTTAGATTCCATACTCATCAGGTGATGAAGATGGTCTGTAAGACATCTTAAATGGCATTAATTACATTGCACTGCTTTGTGCAATGTCTCACTACTGTGGATATAAGGTACATGTTAATAGTATTTGCATACATAGGCCTGCAAAGAAACCTTTCTCTAAGCAACTGAGCAATGAGGAAATATAAAACAAATGGATCTGTCCACAATGGTTTATTTACAATATTTTATTCCCACTCATCTTTCCATTGTACAGGTATGACTGCATGGATGAAGTTTCATAATGGCAGCTTAATTCAACTCTTAAAGTCATTCAAGTTACAAACCCAACTCCAGATTCACATTTTAGAGGATGCACCCACATGATCTTTAAATTTAAGGCAGAGCAAGCTAGAAAAGACTTCAGACACCTCAGGCTAGAACATATTAATCCAGATGAAAAATATCGCTAAATTAACACACAAAAAATAAAGTTACTAATAAGGCAGCAACACATTCAGAAAAACAGTCCAATTCATTACCCTGGTACTATTACGTCAAATCTATTCCATCAAGCAAAACGTTTAGTTTTGTTTGGTGGCTTGTTTTTAAGTGAAGCATGCCCAACTTTCTAAACAAAGCTACTGCAATCAGATGTCAGAAACCAACGACTGGTTTCACTACTTTGAGAGCACCACGCTTCCCCTCTTGCCCTGCTGTCTCCAGCAGGGATAGCATTGGAAATGGTTTTCTACTCATCAATCCAACAAGTACAGCTCAGACAGCGGAAATAGGCTCCATTACAGTAAATAACCAATATATTTCATCCTGATTTTTCCACTAGGACAAGACTTTTGCAAGCAAAGACAAGCTTGATCTGCTCATGTGCCACGTCAGCCTGTTCTCAACTGGAAGCCCCACTGTGTCATTTAACTTCATCACGTCCAAGCTTGCAAAATTTCCTCTGAGCTTCACATACCTCCTCGGCTTTCCATACAGGGCAGATTTTCATCTGGTGATGTTGAAACATGGGCAGGGCTAGCTTGCCTTTGTCTGCAAAAAGCTGGGTAAATGCATTATTACCTGAGCTTCATCTCAAAGCCCGTCCAAAATTTGGATTCCAAGCCATAAGCACAAACCTATTCTTCAAAAGTGCAAGAGAAATCAGCAACATGCTTGGTAATAGGCCACCAAGCAGAGTGCATGTAGCAGTGATGTTGATCAATGTCAACCTGTACTGGATCTAGTTCACTGACTTAAGAAAGAAAAAAATTAAATTGTATTCATTTAAAACTAGGTATTTTAGATAAAAATCAGAGTGGAGAATTCATACCAAGCCTTTACTGTCAAAGCTATTGCTCAAAACGTTTAATGTTATTCTCTTTTAAAAGTGAAATACATCAAAATCGTATGTGCATTACTTATAATATTTATTGTACTGATGACAGTAGAAAATGCTCTTATTTCTTTGGTCATTGAATTAATTGTTATTGCTTGTTTTGGACCTTAAAAAAAAAGACACACATTTTATTTGCTCTATTAACTCCCAGTGTCAGATTCAGTAACAATTCAATTTTCCACTGTGCAGAAATCGCCCCCAAAACCTTGAATTTAGGCCTCTAAAGATCAAAAAGACTGATAAGGCTTTTTAAGAATCCTTCCAAATTTATTAGGGTTTGGTTTTGTTTTTTTTACACTCTCATATTTTTTATTCCAGTTAAAAACATACCTAATATGACAAATTATTATGCTATACCCAAAGCATCTGGAGCGTGCACATCCACCTGCACTTGATAGTCATGTCTGCTGGACACAAACAAGAAACAGCAGCTTATGAATGAAAACAGACACTTCACTTATCTTTAGGAAGTCGGCTTTGAAGTATGTTTATTCACTGACATACTAGACATGGAATAAGTGACCTGGTATTTTACTTAAAATTAGCTAACAGCATAATAAAAAGTCAGTCACCCATACAAAAATCCATATATCCAGAAAACCTTTCTCTTCCTTTACTTGCCCCGGGAAAAAATAAGCAAGTAAACAAAAAACACTCAAGGAAAACATATCTATTTCCATTCTGGTTGTTACACAAGTCATTTGGAAAAAAGTCTCCACAGTGCCTCAAAAGGAGAGATGCCATTATTTTAATCAACTTCATCTAGAGAAAAATAAAATAATACAAACTCCAAGATGTGCGTAGGCTAAAACTCCATGACAATACCTTGCTTCTGTAACATCCACTTCTTCAGACTTGTTACTTTTGCACCTTTGTATGTCTTTAACAGGATGATACATGTTTTTTAAGCAGCAGCCAGGACTCCAAGAAGTCTGGATTCTTTAACTTCCACCAGAATAAATAAGAACCCAGTTCTACGTACCTTAGATATTTCCGGCTCCACTGGTTGTTTCTTGGGTGTCTCTTTTGACTCGGGCCCTTTTGGAGTATTAGTGTTCTTAACAGAGGGCGATTCAACTCCTTCACCTTCGAGTTGCAGATTAATACCTTCTGTGGGGACAGAGTGATCAATACCATTTGGATTCAGATTGCAATGGATAGCTGGAAAAAAAATATGAGAAAAGCAAAACACTGCTTAGGAAGGAAGAATCCAACATTACAAATGTTTATCACAAAATGCTAAGAAGTGCCAGAGCTGTCAGATCATGGCATAAGAGCTGTCTGTACCTTGACATGGACTCAGTAGTTGAGAAAGAAAACGAGAGGCAATGCAGCACCATAGAGAGCTATTTAATGCAGGCTACTGTGTTGACTTGTGCTCTACTGGATTCACTACAGCATGTGAGAGCCTTAACTTATAGCTTTTACTAGGGTAGGATCATATATATTCCATGTACTTGTCATTCAGCCATACTTTTTTTCCTTTCTAGGTAAGCAACTTAAAGTTTCTCTATTGCATTTTCAATTATTACAACATTCTAGGTCCTAAACAATGTGGGACAAGTAGGCTGTGCACAGAAAGCCAGTCTCTGCACGGAGTAATGACTTAGCCAGCTGATTATCTCTCCCTTCAGCACTTTGTACCACTGCAAATTACCACCTACACCATCCTAACAAGCAAGAGGGATGTACTCTCCAGGAGCATATAACGAGGTGTGGACTAACGACAGCAGAATAAGGAAAGGAGACAGAAGAAAAAAATAAAACAAGAGCAAATCATACCATAGAAATGCACATTTAGGACTACAGCAGTAGTTTAATCGCTTTCTGTCCAAAATTTCACAGTTCCAGCATTTACATAAGAGAGTAGCCTTAACAACCTCCTTGGCATGTGTAGCAATTTTAAAACGTGCGGATCCTGAGGCAGCTTCCCCGTCACACAACTATCCAAGTTTTGCATTCACGTTCCTGGGTAACTGCATTACTTTTAGTGCTAGTCATAATTAATGGGCTCAACTTCCCTTGTACACAAAAGAACTTTGCTCAGATACTGCTGAGCAATGTTTGACAGACCTGAGCAGAAATCCAAAACACAACGTAAAGCCAAAATAAAAGCTGCCCTTTTACTCTTGTTTGCCTTAGAAGCAAAGGTGGGGAGCAGGAGAAGGAATCAGAACTGCTAGATACTACCAGCTACAGATCGCTAGTGGGAAATAGACTCCAGCTGCTGGAGAAGGCCAAGGGTCCTTCAACTACAGCACCTTTTGAAAATCCATTCACCTTAAATCCCAAAGTCTTAACTGAGAATTTTGAGCAGTTCCTTGGTGCAGAATTAAAGAAGAGGGCAAAAAGGTGGCCTTTTCTCCTTGGGATTCTTAAAAACATTAAAATATTCATAAAATGTTGATCTGTCCAAGCACTACGATACCTATATCTGCAAGTTAGGGATGGAACCATCTCCTATTTTCAAGTAATATGATGGATAATTCACTGTTGTTAATGGAGAGCAGTATAGAACTGCAACATGTTTTATTACAAATTGTAGCCATTTTGTATAGAAGAATGTGTCACTGGCCCACAGAAAACTAGTAAATGAAACTAAAAATGGGAAAAGAACCAAATTTTAGTCTCAGAATTTCAGCTTCAGAGAGATACGATTTTGTGGTTGATATTTACTTCAGTGTTTCTTAAGATACCAAAAATCTCTCTCCTCTAGATCATACCCACCTATCATTATGTCTCCTCTAGATCATACTTAACCTGTCTGAAAGAAACAAGTCATTACTAATGACTACTTTGCTTATCCTCCAGGCCACAGAAATTACAGATGAGTTCCACAAGACAGGCTTTTTTGCAACCCAGTGAGAATGGAGGCTATTCTATTAGTAGCCAAACTAATTCTCTCTACACAGAAAATGGGAATCAACCTGTAAAAGTATCCCCAGTACACTCTGCTCCAGCAAGGGCTGAAAATGAGCAGTGAAAGATGCTGAGTATGGAATGTGGTCCATAAAAATCCCTCCAACTGCCTTCTGCAAGTATCTTGCCTAGTTCAATAGCAAGATTCCTGCATGCACCCTTGAACAGCAGCAGCAGCCAGAATCAGGCAGGTTTTGGCTGTCAGCCCCTTCCAGTACTCGCTAGACAGAAATCACAAAGCACAGTGAGACTTATGGCTGCCAGCAGCAAGCTTCCTGTACATTCAAACTCCTCCCTCCCCAGTGCTCCCAAACAATGCAGATTATGGAGGAGAGTGGTGAGGGGTGGACAAGGAAAGTCTTCTGGGTTAGAGCATTGATTTACCATGCATCACAGGGAGCATAAGATCCACATTTCCAATAACACACTAACATAAGCATCACCTGGATGGCTTAAAAAAGAAATAAATCACATGGCAAGATGCTGCTTGACTCTCTGCCCATCACTCTTTCAAAAGCCATGAATGCTAGTGCTGTTTCAACAATGCTTTACATTGGGCTCCTTTAGGATACAGAAAGAAAGAAAAAATTGGAGAGGCTGCTAGAGATCACATACCTGCCCATTACCTTTTGTTGCAAAGAGGTGACTGGTTAAAAGAAACACAGGCTGCCTCAGGAAAGACATTTCCAAAGTTGCTGATATTGGGGGGTGGAGAGGAGCAGGGAAGAGAGACAACATTTTTATTTCCTAGGTGTAGACGGAGAAGGAAAGAGTTCATTTTTATCCTTCACCCCCATCCATCATAGTATTGACTCACCATACACCTGAACTGAATCTGTTCCTTAAGGAAGACACACCTAGAACAAGAGCCTCTGCATGGGGAGGAGGCGGACTGAAGGGCAGGAGGAAGAAAAGCAGAGGTGAGGATACGTATCTGCCACTTGGTAAAGCTAATACCTCTTCATAATAAGCCATCTTCAGGTAGCCAGCTCTATTGTTTTCCTCTAGTGCTACCTCCAACTCTCAGTTACACAGAAGGTAAGAAGGAAAGGATATTTGCTTGCACAGGTCTGCTGTTTCCTGTTACCACACAGAAATACATATATCCATCACTGTGGCAGATGGACATGGAGCTTTTACCTCCTTTTAAATGTGAATACAAAACATAATTGCTCCCTTTCAAGGTTTGTTAAAAGCAG